GCTGCTGTGTCCAGGCTGGAATCTGGAAGGAATATCCTGAGCTTTATTTAGCCTGTGAAGGTGTAAGAAAGCCTGGCTGTGAAGGTTCTTCTCCAGTTTCTCTCAGTTAAGGACTTTGCCAGCTGGATCCTGCTGCTTTCTTCAGGGATCAGCAGAAGAAATAATATTTACCCAGGCTAGAACGTGCAAAGCAGTTTCCCTTCGCTCTGGCTCGGGGACACTTCGCAGGCACTGGATTATGGACTGGTGTGTGTGATCTGGGAGTGAGAGCTGAGCACAGCAGGGTATAATGAACTTCCCAGAACCAGCTGATTAAAGAGGGACTTTGAAGGATTCGAGTCTGCACATCCCTGGGACTCGTAGTGCTCATCAGAGGGGCCTTTTCTTTCCTTACTCTGGGAATCTCAGTAAGGCTCAAATGTCACAAAATCAGGATTTTTGCACTTTATTAAGGAACAATCATAGGAGAATTCTTTTTTTAATTTCACTTATGTAATAATTTAAATCAGTTATATGAGAAATGTTTAATTACTTACATTTTCAGAAACCAATCACTATTTTCTCACATCCACAGTGCCATCCAAGCAAAGCCACACAAAACCTCCTGCTGTCTCTACCCCATCATCCCCCCGGGGACCACACCAGCCCCCCAAATTGAGATTAACCTGGCAGCCAGTGGGCTGCAATGAGAAAATGAGCAGAGGTATAAATATCACCCATCCTGGCCTCGAGGAATCATGTGAGACATCTGGCTGTGCTGGCCTGACTCATGCCACAAACACTTCCCGTCCCTCCAGGAGGGCCTGGAGCTGCTCATCAGCATTCCTGCTAATTAGGAGTGTCCTCCTGTCCAAGTGGGGAAGAGAAAAAACAACAAAATGTTTTCTCCCAAAATGTGAGGGGATAAAAGCAAAGAAAAGGTTCATCTGTTTGGTTTAGACCTTTGAGATCATCCAGCCATCAGACACATGTAGAAGCACCCCTCTGTCCCAGAGCTACCCTTGGGGTGAAACTTTTAGGTTGTCCCTGTTGTTTGATGCTGAGCTGACTGTTTCCATAATTCTCAGAGGTTCTGTAGTGCAGCTGCAGGAAATCTGCAAGAGTTGGGGTTATTTTTGCAGTTGCATTCCCTCCAAGGCCATCCCCCTTCCCAGTTTTCTTGTGGTAACATTCCATAAAATCCTATTCCATGGACACCAGCTGATTGCCAGTGCTGGCCAGCAGCCACCAGGGATCACAAAAGCCAGCAAAAGGGATTGACACTCCCTCCCTCCTGCCTTGAAACCAGCTTTTAAAAGAAAAGGGGCCAAATTGGAAACGAGCATCGTCAGTCCCAACCAGGGCGAAGCCAACTCACTCACACTGAGAGGGACAGGTCTCCCTTGGATTTCTGCTCCTCCTGCACAGGGAAGGAAGAGGGTGCAGCAGAATTATCATTCATTTTCCTTCATCTTAGTGGGCACTGAGATGTGGGACTGTTTTTCTTGTCCTCTGGAGAAACACACAACGTGAGTCACAAGCAGAGCAGCTAAACAGGGTCATGGTGAAAGCTTGGGACGGTCTAAGCTGGACTGTAGGACACTTGTTTTACAAAGGTAAATCCCAAAACAGCCTAAACATGTTTTCAGGAGGGTTAGCAGAGAATGTTTTCCTTTTTGGACTTCTTCAAAATACAGCTGAACACTACAAAAAAATAACCTCTGTGTTAACGATGGAATTCACTCTATGAGTTTTCACTCTGCTGTTCAGAGCTTGCTCACAAAAATAAAGGGAATATTTTCCAGGTACTTTATATCCTGAATGTTTACCAAAACCAGTCAGATGATGAATTACATTTTTTTTTTGTGCATCTGTATGATAAACCATTTGTAAAGGTAACGCTGTGTGAATATTAATACAAATGCAGTGAGCTGGTATTGTTTCTCAGGCTATATTGATCATATTAATGAGAATGGTAATGTATGTATGTTTATTATGATTAACAGAGCTCTGTTCATGTTGCTTTTTCCATTTCAATGAAATTAACTTTCTCTTTCTAAAATTGCTGAAGATGAATATTAAATACAGAGAAATAATTGGTTAATAAGCTCTTCCAAATCCTTCTTCACGCCTATATCCAATTTACTACACTGCTATAAATTAATCTTGAAAACTTAAAGTTATTGGCAATTGTGGATGGAAAAACCCAAAGGGAGAAGAACCTGATCTAAGTAACACATACAACCAAGAAACTTCCACTTAAAGACATATTTAACAAAACAATTTATTATAAATGAGCTGCTGTGCCACTACCAGAGTAGAGAGAATCCAGCCCATAATTTCAGGGCATATGCAAAGAGAAAACATAGCTGCAGGAATGAGACAAATTCTGTTTACACCAGAGTTTAAACACAGGTGGTTTGAGTTTGGTTTTTGTTTGGTTTGGTTTGGTTTTGGTTTGGTTTTCTGTCTTGCATTTCTTTTCTGGGACCAATTCAAAGAATTGTATTTCTTCATTGCCTTAAGAACTGCTCCTGCAAATGATAAAAAGGGAAAAAGAAAAAGATTCTTTTAAGATCTTCACTGAAGCTCATGTTTCTGGTCTAACTGAAGATGTCCCTGTTCATTTCAGAAGGTTGGATATTCCAAGGTCCCTTCCAAGACATAATATTTGATGATTTTCTCCAAACAAAATTCAGGCCTTCTCTGAATAAATCTTGTCCAAGAAAGGTGTTTTGACAAGATAAAAACACAAAACAGAGGCCTGTCTTGAAGATGCACAATCCAAACCCTTTACAGGACAAAACATCAGGCCCCAGTGCCAGCACTGAAGTGGCAAAACTGGAATTACTGAGGCACAGATGATTCAGCAGTACCAGAAGATGAAAGAGCAGAGCTTTAAGGAATTGATAAAAGATGATAGAATGGAGATTTCTGTGCAAATGGAACTTTTTTTATTTTTTTTCAAGTTTCTGTAATGGATCACCAAAGGTTGTCCATCCAAACCTAAATGGGCAGTGACACGTTTGTGCAGGGTGTTGGATTCCTGTCTGCTCACTGAAGATATCCCCACCATAATTTCGCTGTTCTGTATGAATATTATTAGACTTTGAATTTGGTGCAAAGAACAGGGAATTTTACAGCCTGTTCTGGGCACTGCAATTCTCATCATGAAGTTATTAATAAGAAGGGATGAACAGTAATTGTGAGGGAACAACAAGGTTATAATCATAACTTGTTCCAAATTATACTCCTGTGATCTCCACTTTTGCTCTGACTGGGAGCTGCTTTTTAACTTGGGAAAATTTCAATAATAAAGCCAAGAAGGAAATTACTGGGCATTTCTTTGAACAGTAAACTTCCTAGAAATGCAGAGATTGTCACAATCAGGTTCATGGGCTTCAAAGTGCTGCGTTCACCTGACAGTTCTTTCAATCATTTTTTAGTAAAATACATCTGTAGCCATCGAGGCATTGTGTAATCCCCCCACACACCTGTAAATTATAATGTGGGATGTCATGATTTATTTCATAGCATAAAAGCTGTTAAATGAATACTGACAGCACCATTAGTGTCCTGATCTTGAACTGAAGTGCAAGTCAGCTCTGCTTAAGTCATCATTCTCAGGAGTCACAAATAAATGTGCACTTTAAAAAAGTGCCATGGGTTAATCAGATCTGAATTAGTCAAGAAAAATCGGTGAAGAAAGGAGCAGTTCAGGAAATGACAGCCTGGAGCTCTTATTCCAGCACTGGTTCTTGGAGCAGCCAATGCCAAAGACCCCAGAACGCAAAAACATGGGCTGAAAACTTGATTAATTCGGAATTAACTGAGAGATATCAATATTGCTTCAGCATCTTGTGGCCTGAGTGCTCCCATCCACACCTCTTGCCTCGTTCCCTCTCTTGGGAAGCAGAACCCAAATGTGCTCCACTCCCTGGACTCCTCTTTGCCTCCAGGAAGAGTCCTGGTGAAAAGTAAAAGAGAGGTTCAAAAAAATGAACTCAGCTCAGAGTTAATTTATCCCACTGAGAATCATCAATTACTGCTGCTCTGCCCTAAATCCCAAATTCCTTGAGATCAGCTTCTAGGAAAGAAAATGTCTCCTTGTGCTTGCCCTGATATAAAATGGTTCATTTCTATTTTTAACTTCTTCTGAGCTAATGGTGATCTGTGACTGCTTGAAAAACAAATCTACTTATTTTCCTAAAATTCATGCTCTGTTTTGTTTGTTCCCTAATGTAACGCTGCCCATTTTGTTGTCTCCTACACATTTAGACCATTTTTTCCCCCTCACACCGATACTGTCATTTCTGGAGGTGAAATCTGGATGCCTGTCCTTAGAGCCTTATGAATTCTGTTGTTTTATAAATATTTATCACAACTCTTTTAATGCCAACAGCTGTGCTCCTTTCACAGACAGAGCTGTTTTATAAAGGGTCAAGCCCTCTGTGCCTCTTCCCAGTTCCCACAAGATTTCAGATTGTTCCCATTTGGCCCTTCACTAACCAGACCCAACACTCCTCCAGGAGGGGAGCTCCTCCTTAGTGAGGAATAATTGTTCTCTCTCCCAACACAGATCTCACCCCAGTTCAGACATTATTTGTTCATCCCAGTCATTTATTCCAATCTGTTTGTCCATCTGAAGGGATCAAAGCATTCAAACTAAAACACAAACCACTCAACCTCTCAGACTGGCAGGCTGGTCACTTCTAGAGTCATCCCTAATCATTCACAGCCTCTGTGAGAATATCCAGATTCAAAAAGTTGCTTGAATATGATCTTTTATTAAGTTTTCCCCTTTGATGAACCCAGAACACCTCAAAAGGGGAATTATTTTCTTCAAATGAGGGTAAATTAAATTTATCTGGCTTTTTTCCCCTGTTACTTCCCAAAAGACACATCAGTCATTCCAAACTAACACACTTAAGTAGAACAATGACTAAATAAACCCAAACCACGCTTTATTGTGTGCTGAGGTGGTTTCTCGTTGTAAATGAAGTGTTTCTTTTCTCATTTAGAGCTCCAAACGGGACCCTGACTAATGGAATAAGATGGCCAGTCTTCACTAGTACTGACCAAAAATATTTGACACTGAACACCAACACTTCTGAGGTACTGACAAAACTACGAGCTCAGCAGTGTCGATTCTGGAAACACTTTTTCCCCAAAGTTGTGGAAATGACAGGTAACAAGTCTCTTCTAGATGCTTTTATATACAACTTTTCTGCAAGGATTGTTTGCTGGATGTTGATGTGATAATTGGGTTCCCATCTTTATGTTCCTGTTTGTGACTGGGATGTTCAGCTGGGTAAAACTGAGTTGGTGTTGGATAAAACTGTGTTGAGGGTGGACCCCAGAACGTGCCCTGTGCTTCTGGCTTTGGGGTCACCACCCTATTTTGTACCAGGACAAAACCCAGGGGCACACCGAGGGCCAGGGCTTTGTGATATGGAGATTTTCTGTCCCAAAGATGCTGCCACAATGTGAGCACTGAAACCTCTGTTCTTTGGTACCCCCCAAAAGAGTCTTGGTGCCACCAGTGCTCCTGGGTGCTGGAGAGATCAGGAAAATCAGCTAAAGGAGTTAGCACTGGGAATTCTGGAGGCTTTAGATGTTCTGTATAAACTGTTACAGGATGTTATATTTGGCTTATATTACCTATTATTTATGGGATTCTATTTTATGCAACTGATCCCCTGAGGAGATGAAGTGCCACTGCCAAGAGGGGATTGTGGTTTCCAGCTCACGTGAGAGCCCTGTGTTTTATTTCTGGAGTGCCATTGCTGACAACCCAGAGGCTGCAGGATTTGTCTATAGAAAACAGAACTGATTTGTGCCTGACCATGCATACAATGGATTTATGAGGTTTCACTGCCAAGAAAAGTACAATTGTTTGAAACTTTAAGGTCAGTTGAACACAGAAGACCCAAATTTTTCGAAGAGCAATGGCACTGTTTTACCAAAGCCTCTGTGCTCTGGATTTCAAAAGGAATTGATTTTATAAAGTGATTTTGCACCTCTAGAATCACATTCTGAAGCTTGACTGAAGGAAAGTCTCATTTCAAAAATGAGATACACTTTTAAGATGTTAATTAGTAATTTAAAATCTTTCTCTAAGACTCAGTTTGAATGCTCATCCTAAAAAACTCGTAAACCTTAAAAATATGTAAACTGTCATGGTGCACAGATGATTCCTTCTGAAATAATTTATTCCTTCCTCATTTGAGTCGGTGACTGTATTATGGCTCAACTTTTATCCCCTCTCAATTCAACAGATGTTTTTCAATTAAATCAAGAGGCACGAAATCAGTAGGTAAAATGAATAATTTATGAAGCCTACAGTGTGATTTTAAAATCACAGCGTTCCCAATTACGGGAGGATTTCAGGGAGGTTTCAAAGATTCTGACAACTTTGTGCTGAGCCAGGAGAACTGAACTCTTTTACATATTCCTTTAACCTGGCTGGGAAACCCCAGGGAAAAATGTGGAAACTACAAATGGGCTGAGCTTAACTAAGTCTGTGTGGAGGAGAGGAGACTCGAGGAGAGGAGACTCGAGGAGAGGAGACTCGAGGAGAGGAGA